TTTGCCTTATCTTTTTTCTTAATTTTTTCACTACGCAAACAACCCCTGCTTGTATGCTATGTTTTTTGCCCGTGGAATTGTTTATGCCCGTGGCATAATGGTTTATACAAAGCATTTTCTTTTTTTCAAATTTTATTTTAATTTTTGCCCACAATTACTTGCCGTTTGTTCTTAATTAAACACAAAAACACCGTTAACTGCTGAACTGGCCGCAAGCGCAAGAGTTATGTAAACTTCGTTGTATTCTTTCTTTTTTGCATAAAATATAGGCTGTGGAAACACTAAACTGGCTGTTGCAAAGCCAAAGCGGCTGCTAATCGCCTGCAGCTTTACTCTCCGTCGTTTTGTGTCTCGCCCTATTTCATAAAAAAGTCTTACGTATTTGCGTTTTTAATTAAGCAACATAAAATTTAAACGACATTACGTGCCAAGTATCGACGCAGTGAGGACTGGCAAGCTTCTAAACCTTTAAGCTTCGTACTTGTCTACTCTGATTTATAGAAGTTCATTTTTCTCGTGGTATTGAAGAAACAAAAGAGAAAAAGGTCGTTCACTTTTATTTCGACCGCAACGCTGCCGTGTGCTGGCGAGCCTAAATGCGCGCTAAAAAATTTGTTTTTCCCGCACGCGCTATAAAAAAGTGCAGCCTAACGACTTAAAATAATAATGTCATTTAGTTTTTTTTCGGCACTTATTATCATAATTTATATCTGAGAATTTAGAGAAAACATATTTCTAACCGCCTACACATATTCGTTACAGTTTTAATGTTCGTGTGTTGACAGTTCTTTGCCGCTGTCTTTTGCCGCCTTCTCTTTCAGCCGCGATTTTTGCTCGATTTAATATGGTTGCCATACATTCACTTTAACCAAAAAATGTGCCTACATTTTTCGGGAGCCATTCGAAAATGGCGCTGTCATTTCCAATGCTGCTCATTTCGCATGCGACGTTTGTGTGTCAGCGCCCTCAATTAAGGGCACAAATAATCAGAAGCCTTCCCGAAAACATGCAATTTAACAAAAAGCGCACAATAAAAACTGCGAAAGTGTCGTGGAATAGAATTTTTTAATTAGTGTCACTGGCAAAACAAACCAATTAGTGCAGCTGTCAAGAAATCCGTTCTGCGCCTTTTTTCCTGCCACCTCCAGTGAAGCAGCGCGCGCTCAGTGCATTGTTCGCGCGCGCTGCAAAGGCTCATACTCATACAAATAAAAGCTTCATTTTAGTGGGTTTTTGTGTTGTTCTTTCGGCCGTCAATTCTTGGCAAAAGTTTGCGTTAACGCGCCATTGGCTGGCAGCGCAATTCATTGCTAATGGCATTTTCGGTATTATTGAAAATTCACTTTTTAATGAAACATTAATTTCATCCCGACCAAATGCGCATGAACGCCGCAAGTAGTAGGAAAGTTTTTGCATTGAAACACTGAAAAGCGTAAACTGCAAATTGCAAACTAAAAGCGGAAAGTTAAAAGTGGAAAGTGTAAACTTTTCACGACTTTTGACATTTTGAGTTGAAACTCAAGATATTTATGAAAATTTTTGGACATTGAGCAATTGCGGTACTTATGGTGTGTGGTGTGTACTAAAAATATTGCATTCAATACTCAAGTGTTTATGACGTTGAAAATATTCATTAAAGGAACTAATTCTTATTGCAGACTATTAAAAAAATTAAAGACAAGAAAAAACGTTAACTTCGGTTGTCCGAAGCACAAAAAATTGTATATAAGAACTCGATTTTGATCGTTCAGTTTGTATGACAGTTATATGCTATAGCAATCCGATCTGAACAATGTCTTCGGATATTGCACTATTACCTCAGCAAATAATCCGTGCTAATTTTCGTGAAGATATCTCGACTAGTGTAAAAGTTTTCCATACAAACACTTGATTCCGATCCTTCAGTATGTTTTATTTGATCGATAGCTGATGATGATGCCTATAGATGCTGATCTATATATATATTTATATATACAATATATACAAGTATATGTATATTTATGTATATATTTTACAGGTTCTCCGACATTTCTATCTTGGTATTACAGACTTCATGTCGAACTTAATACACCCTGTTCAGGGTATATTGTGCCACGCCAGAAGCCACTGCCTTACTCGGGCGAACCCATTCATATAACGAAATAGATCCGCAAATTAAGAACTCAACTGATATACTAAAAGAAAAGGATAATATCCGTATATTACTAAAATACTTTTTAAAACTTTGGCTAGACCTATATTGGAATAGGGCTCTGTTTTATGGAACCCTAGCTACCAAATCCATTCTGACAAGTAAGAGTCTGTTCAAAAACAATTTTTACTTTTCGCCTTAGGGCATTTCCGATGGGGTTCTAGGGTAAGTCTACCTCCATACACTAGTCTTAGCATAATATTCTTAGAATGGAACAGTTTGCACAAACTCTCTCTCCAATCGTTAGGTTATTATAATGAATAAAGTTAGGTTGTTCGAAGGTATTCTTCCTAGATATTCTTCCTAAGGCAGTCGTCGTCTCTTTAAATATACAATAAATTATTTATTTTTCAATTACCATTGAATTATTTTAAACTACAAACAGGTTCCTTAAATATTTCAAATCAAAAATTTTTTTTTCACTTTATATCTATACGGACTGATATAATACACTTTTAACTACATTATTGCATATTTATAAGTGTACAAGTATATCGATATTTTTCACAACTCGACTATAAAACAAACCTCAGTCTATTTCAAAAGATTAAAACAAACTGTGAGTTTCAACAAGCGCCTCAAGCGACAGTTTGAAAATCTCTAAAATATGTGAAGTATAATTTTGGGAAAGATAAACAAATAGCGAGAGAAATATTAAGATAACGCTTATATCTGTTACACGTGTCAAGGCTGACAGCTGAAATAAAAATAGCAAAAGCTAAAATTAAATTTGCGTCAAACGAAGACACGTGACTTTTTGAAACGATAAAAATACACAAATGAAAATTTAATATGGAAATATTTTAGGTTATAAAATTTATAGGCAGCAAATAAAATGCCCGGCTGCCATAATTCAGAATGAAAATGATTGGCTTTAAAGGAGCTGCAGCTAATTTAAATGTACAGACATTATTTTTTAAAGAGAGCGAGAATAAGATAAAACAACATGGCGAATTGGCACGTGTCTTTTAGAGTTGACAAATATGTTGAGATATATACTTGTTAATTATATATACCAGTGACTGTTGTAAATACAATATGTACATATTTTGTACGCACAATATATATATATATATATATGTATGTGCATAATCAGGTCACTTGAACTGGGCCAAGTCGAAGTAGTTATTAATGTTTTCAACTGGTTGGGATTGCAAGCGGAAGACTCAGCCAAGCAGCAAGCTCAGATATGAGGTGGCGCCGTTATTGTTATTAAATGAGGTGGAGCGTTATAATGAATAACTGTCAATGACCGTTATGCTGATGTCTATGTGCTCTTCTTATATTTATACTATCTACTCCACTATTGTCACTCAGCATGGTACTTTACAGCCATTGATGCTTTATTACGGGCCCGACATAGCCATTCCTGCCACAGTTTGTTGCACGTCAGCCATTGTAATTCTAAGTTTTCCGCAGGGAATACCAACGTTGCTTGTTATCGGTGCGCAGGAAGCGTGTGCCAACGAGTCTCAGCAAATCAGTCTAGTCGGGCGAGAGCATAAGCATAACCAAGAGGAGACAAAAACAAAGCTGAATCTCGAAAATGCATGGAAAACGGGAAAAACAACAAAAGAAAAAGTAAATTTTCAAATAAAAATTAAGTTGCAAAGATGCTAAGTACCTTTCTGGGACTCGAATGCCCGGCGTAGTGAATGACAAACGCCACACCGCTGTAAACAGATGACATTGAGACAAGGGAAGAAGAGCACGCGCGCGCTCACTGATATCCGCTTGGGAAGATAGTAGGCTTGATAAGGTAGGTAAAGAGAGCTGAGTGAATGAGGTGAAGAGACGAAATGCAGTGTAGCTATCTCAGACAGCAGAAAGTTTATTGTAACAACAATGTAAATAGAACTGACAGCACGCACACACACACACATACCACACAGACACAGCAACAGCCAGCCGTCAAGGAAATAATGAAGACGTTTCAGCTCAACTCACTTTGGCTGTCGAACTTCCTAGCTTGCCGAGCGTAATCAAGTCAGCCGGCTTGCTGAGCGTACTAAGGGACGAAGCAGACATCAGCGCATAATACGAAGATTGCAGATAAAGCGCAAATTTGTCGCAATAAGAGATTTTAAATTGTGATATGATGAAGTCGCCATACAACACAAAAGCCCTGCATTCATGGCGATGATAGTGGCTTGTTGTCATACTTCTTGCCGGCAACCTCTAAATGAGCACAGGAGACCGTCAAGCTTGACAGAGCAACTGCGTGTGTATGTGCGTCGGGATTAGTGAGCAGAGTATTTGCTGTTTAAAATAATAGCTTCAGCAGCACTGTCTTTGCCGGAGAAGCGCGCGATACAAAAACAACAATAAGGTTTTATGGATAACATAGATATCTTAGCCACGCCAGCCTGGACATCAATTTTTATTGCGAGCTCTGGCTGCTGGAACGTGCATCTTGCTTACGTAGCCCAAGGCAGCTTATGGATAATGAAAGAAACGAACTGATTGCCATTGAAAGTTATTACACGAGCTGCTGACGGGGGGGCTTACGCGCTGGGGTGGCGGAAGTGGCGCATAAATGCCAATTAATATTCATGTTAGACAGTCCAGAAAGGAGAATAGTGGGTTAAAGTTACTGGGATTTTCTGTGTATTCCGTTCAAAATTTCGTTAAAAATTTATGTGGCAATGAATTTAAATTACTGCTAGCATATTTTATTTACCGTTTAAAGTACTTTAGATTGAAATATTGTGTAAAATAGAGAACTTTAAACAAATTAAGTGCAATTTGTTCCATAATAATTTGAGTAAAATATCTTGAAAATTTAGTAATCAATATGTGAGGCACTTACCCCTATAACTTTTTAGACAACTCTGGATAAACTAGAAATAAAAATTAAAAAAAAAATATTTATTTAGAAATATTAAACAGATATTTTCATAAAACAAAAAATATACCAGAAAAATTTGTTGTTTTCACTATTAATTTTAATAAGTCTTACGTTACATTTTTAATGCTTTTTTATTAGCTTGCTTTTCTATTTCAAAACATTTGCAGAGGTACTAATTTAAGTATTTTTCGGTAGTTGGCAACTCACTTCCGAAGTATCTTCACTGGAACAAAATCTGCAAATTTTATTTATAAATATATTGTAGTATTATCAGTATAGTTTGATCGATATTGGCAACTCTATTCAAATATATGTTTGAAGTGTTAAATCCACTTGTAAATTTAAATAAATCGATTTTTGCTTAGCATATACATACATATGTATATCGAATTTACATATATAAGGTTGTCAAATATCTCCCTTCTGCTTTTTTGTCTTTTGAATTTCGCGGCTATGTACAAAGCGCTACAGAGCTCGTATCTAGCAACACTATACATAATTTGAAAAGTCTTGACACAACCTACAAAACAACGCTATGCATGATTAGTTTGGATATTGCCTTCAACAGTTATAGACGTGTAAACATGGAGTTCACTAACGCCGAAATTCGCGCTATTTTAAAGTTTTCCTTCGTTAAAGGCAAATCCGCTAGAGAAACGTTCCGTGAGATTAATGGTGTTTTGGGGGATGGTAATTCATCACTTCGAACCGCGGAGGAATGGTTTCGACGATTCAGAGCCGGTGAAAACGACACCATGGATAAGCCAGCCGGCGGAAGACCTGTGACGACAAATACCAATCAAATCATGGAATACATCGAGTTAGACCGGCATATGGCATCTCGTGACATCGCCCAGGAGATGGGAGTTAGTCACCAAACCATTTTGAACCATCTGCAGAAGGCTGGATACAAAAAAAAGTTTGATGTTTGGGTGCCGCATAATTTGACGCAAAAAAACCTTCTGGACCGAATCAACGCCTGCGATATGCTGCTGAAACGGAACGAACTCGTCCCATTCTTGAAGCGGATGGTGACTGGCGACGAAAAATGGATCACATACGACAATATAAAGCGAAAACGGTCGTGGTCGAAGGCCGGTGAATCGTCCCAAACAGTGGCCAAGCCGGGATTGACGGCCAGGAAGGTTTTGCAGTGTGCTTGGTGGGATTGGAAGGGAATCATCCACTATGAGCTGCTCCCATATGGCCAGACGCTTAATTCTACCATCTACTGCGAACAACTGGACCGCTTGAAGCAGGCGATCAACCAGAAGCGTCCAGAATTGGCCAACAGGAAGGGTGTAGTGTTCCACCAGGACAACGCCAGACCACACACTTCGTTGATGACTCGTCAGAAGCTACGGGAGCTCGGATGGGAGGTTTTATCGCATACACCATATAGCCCGGACGTAGCGCCAAGTGATTACCACCTGTTCCTGTCCATGGCGAATGCCCTTGGTGGTGTGAAGTTGAACTCAAAAGAGGCTTGTGAAAAGTGGTCCGAATTCTTCGCAAATAAGGAGGGGGGCTTCTACGAGGAAGGTATTATGAAGTTGCCGTCTAGATGGAAACAGATCATCGAACAAAACGGCGCATATTTTAACTAAATCCGATCACTGTAACACTTTTTATAAAGCATTGAATGAAGAGCAAAAAAGCGGAAGGGAGATATATGACAACCTTATATTTAAGAATATTCTTGAAAATTTTGAATTGATCAGGCAAATAATTAAGGAGATATGAGCGTATTGATTAGATTTGCCTTTAACTAAGTGTAATCGGCTCCCAAAACTTTAAATTCGTTTTTCTCGAAATGACTTCAGTATCGATGAAGAAAATTTTCCCAAAACTGCTGGATGGGTCGATTTGAAAATTTCGCACAATCTTTTCAGATGAGGGAAAGAATACGACTTTGATAATAATTTCGATTTTTTAAGTCATTCTGAAATGTAAATTTTTCCCAAATCGACTTTTATTTAGCAAGAGCCCGATTTGTCAAAAATTTATATTTTGACTAGTCCTTCGATCGTTGCCTGTATCTATTTATTGTATTAATATTTTGATACTCTTGCAACATGTTGCAAGTAACAGCGTGTAATAGTTTTGTGTACCTAACGATTGTTTGTATTATCCAAAACTAATCGAGTTAGATCTAGGTAGTGGTAATTATACATAAGTGATCAGGATGAAGAGAAATCTCAAACGAGTATACTATTTGACTTTGCGAGAGTATAAATGTTCGGTTACATCCGAACTTAGCCCTTCCTTACTTGTTTTTATTTATTTTATATATTAAATTAATATATCCAATATACGGAATGAATACAATAGTTAGGTATATATATTTAAGTAGGTTTAATGAAATTAAAACTAGTCTAACTTACCTAGAAGAGTAGTATACAATTTTTGTAAGACTTAAGTCTTTTTTCCCCGACCACTATATGGCTCAATTGGCATTGCATGACTCATAATATTTTTTAAATTTTGTGTCACACTTTAAGATAGAAGTCTCTTAATAGCAGAAACCTGTTTGTTCTACCAGAGTTATTTATTATGGCCTTGTTAATTACTAGTTTTATTATAATTCAACATTTCAGTTGTTTATATTTTACTTAAGCCGTTTAAAAAGCTTGCAGCGTGTATTCCAAAATCTGTTGCCATAAAATCTTCAAATCACGATGTATTTCTGATAAAAGGTTTTAGAAATTTGTAGCCGTCTTAAACAAAAACTTCTGGAAGAGAATTACCCAAAATATCAAATAACGATGTTAGCTACTTTCACCTGCTTTTAGTTAGTAAAACTTTATTTGCCGTGATTTCCCAATAAATCATAAAATAATGTTCTGCAGCTTGTTTGCCTTATCTAAACTCCCATGGCACGGTTATTAGTCTTCGAAAGCCACTCAATTAAGCACAGCGTTGACATAGTAAAAAAATCGACTTATCTTATAAGCATAACACTTGAATGTTCCAGCCACTTTGTGCACTCTGACGATATTGATTAATGTAACTGAGTACTGATCATGCAGCTTAACATATATACGCTATGCTTGTGTATAAAATACACTGTTAACACCGATAATTTATCATAAACGAAAGGATATAACGTAGATATACACTTAAATTCAATGCTGGTTATATATATAGGATATTTTAATTGTCACTGTAATAATGATTACTTTTAAAGCAATTAGTTAATACTTAATACTTGTAAGAGCTTATAGTACTTCACTTTTATACTCTCGCATATGTATATATAAATGATCAGGATGAAGAGATGAGTTGAAATCCGGGTGACTGTCTGTCCGTCCGTCCGTCCGTCCGTCCGTGCAAGCTCTAACTTGAGTAAAAATTGAGATATCTTTATGAAACTAAGTAGACATGTTTCTTGGTACCGTGAGACGGTTGGTATTGCAGATGGGCGTGATCGGACCACTGCCACGCCCACAAACGCCATTAATCAAAAAAAAATAAATTGCCATAACTAAGCTCCACAATAAGACACAAGACTGTTATTTGGTACAGAGGATCACATTAGGAAGGGGCATCTGCAGTTAAAATTTTTTTTGTGGGCGTGTAATAGGTTTAATGTGCATATCTCTTAAATCGCCAATGTTATAATAACCAAATTCACTGGAAGCAAATGTGTTTAGAACTTCTATCTACAGTGTGAAAATAGTTGAAATCGGGTGGCAATTCCGCCACCTCCCCATATAACGGTACTGTTAAAAACTACTAAAAGCGCGATAAATCAAGCACTAACACGCCAGAGACATTAAATTTTATCTCTGGGATGGTATGAGATGACTTTATAGGAACCGCGTTCAAAATTAGACAGTGGGCGTGGCACAGCCCACTTTTAGGTGAAAACCCATATCTTGGGATCTGCTTAACCGATTTCAATCAAATTCGGTACATAACGTTCTTTTTGTATTTCTATGTTATAGGGCGAAATCGGACTACAACCATGCCTTTTCCCATATATCACCATTTTCAATTCCATTTGATTTTTTAACTTTCCACTATGCAAATCAAGCAACAATGATTATATCGGCGTAAAACTTTGCGTGAATAATAAGTTTAAAGTATGCCTATAGTTGACCTTCTACCGAAAATATCAGTCAATCCACAAAGAAATTTCAACCCATTTGACTTTACGAGAGTATAAAATGTTCGGTCACATCCGAACTTAGCCCTTCCTTACTTGTTTAATATTCTGTTTCATAACACATATTGTGTTGCAGAACCTTATCTCTCAAAGGCTTTGAAATATCCAAAATTAGGCGCAACCACATACGTATAATCATACCTTTAAGTTTTCATCGAATTTTCAAGTACATACAGTTACACTTGATTGCCTTAGTCGTGTGTACAGTGAGGCTTTCGCGCATTCATTCTTATTGAAATAACATGTTGACATATTTACCACATTGTTATTATTTTTGTAGACAATGCACGCATTCAAATTTAGGACAATTGATTTACAGAATATACTAATCAATCACTAGTCATGTAATAATATATTTTTATAAGCGCTTCTGGCAAACAGGTGGCAGCTGAAGTATAGGTTGCAAATATCTCCCTTCTGCTTTTTTGTCTTTTGAATTTCGCGGCTATGTACAAAGCGCTACAGAGCTCGTATCTAGCAACACTATACATAATTTGAAAAGTCTTGACACAACCTACAAAACAACGCTATGCATGATTAGTTTGGATATTGCCTTCAACAGTTATAGACGTGTAAACATGGAGTTCACTAACGCCGAAATTCGCGCTATTTTAAAGTTTTCCTTCGTTAAAGGCAAATCCGCTAGAGAAACGTTCCGTGAGATTAATGGTGTTTTGGGGGATGGTAATTCATCACTTCGAACCGCGGAGGAATGGTTTCGACGATTCAGAGCGCTGAAAACGACACCATGGATAAGCCAGCCGGCGGAAGACCTGTGACGACAAATACCAATCAAATCATGGAATACATCGAGTTAGACCGGC